TTAAATGTTCTTGTAAACTGTACCATGGTATACTGGTCCTGATACAGAGCAATTCTTTCTGGTCTACCTTTAGACAGCACTTGGGTTATTTCTACTTTGTTTTAAAATCTTCGAATCTTTGTTATAAGGGAATAGAGTGTATTTTTTCTTGCTTGTTTTTATTTCTGTTGTTAATAAACTTTTGTTTCATTTCATAGTTACCACGTAATGCTGCAGCATTTATATTATCTTTTTAGTAAAAGATCACTTTGGTAACAAAAACAGGGCAAATTGGTCTTATTTATCCAATCAAGCTCCTTTTCAGGATGTGACTTGTCTGGTACTAATATCAACTGGGCATTATCCCATAGCAATTGGGACAACTAGTTCATAGTACCAACTGGGATTAAAAGTGCTGTTGTAAGTGGTGGAGCCTTTATTAATATATATTAACATATTGATAATCTATAGCTATGTTTTAAAATATTTCATCACATTCAAGGAACAACAAATGTAAAATCAAGTGTACACTTTTCATTTTGGAAAAATATACATTTTTCAGTGTCAGGAAATGTTTTTGCATATATTGTGAAGATCATAAGAGAAACTGTCAAGTTTGACGTACTTCGCATCCGTCTAAATGTTTAAACTAAAGTAATAGTGGGACTTAGAGCCTTGGCAGGTTTCCTTCAGATTATTTAGCACACAAAATTTTGCATAGAAATCACTTTATATTAAGTATGTTGAAAATCAAAATACACTTGTTTTCACATTTTTTCCCTATTAATCTGATGATACCTATAAAACACTGGGAAGAAGAAACCAAAAATGGCTAACATTTCTACTAAACTGCCCACCAGTTACACCATTTATTCATATTCAACTAGACCGACATTGGACAATTGGATATTGGACAATTGTATTAGCAATATTCTTATAGTTTGCTCAGTAATAAGGAACTGCCTCTGGTCAGTTTCACAATATGGTTTTCTGAAGAAAACTTGAGTGAAACTTGCAACTTGGGAACTCTTTAAAAGTATGTTTTATATAGAAGCAACATGACTGTTGAGCTAACTCTGAAGTAGTTTTTGACTGGAACCTCTAAGATTCATAGTGTGTTACTGTGGTCCCCAATTCAGGTTTGAAAAGGTAGAATGTGTCAGTTTTTAAAATCCAACAAATATGATTATGTAATGATTCCAAAATGATTGTGTGATGAGAGTTGTATTTTGTTTATGAGAAAATTATCCAGCAGATTTTATGTTGCCTCTAGTGTTTTGCATTTTATTTTACCAGTTTTACTTGTAAATTACATTTTATTTTGAATGTTTAAATCTTTCTTTCCTGACTATCACTTCCATCTTTTTCAGGATATTGCTGTATGACTATTAATAACAAGGTAACTTTTGTGTAGTTTCCATTGTACATTACTTCCCTAAATTTCCCACTGACCAAATGTGAGCAATTATTTATATGATGTATAATAGACATATTCCTCTCTTCTTTCTAACCTCACTACCAAATGGCCTCCAGCTAAAAAGGCAGACTTTTTGATACATTGCTTGGAAGCATGGTTTATAGGTTGTATTTACATAAACTACTGTAAACTAGACTAGCACTTTTTAAAAGTTGGATAGTTGTTACAATTGTCAGCATCAGTTTACAGGTCAGATTGAAACTATTTCATAATGGAAATAATGTATCATTTATTTTTTAATCCAATCCTTCAACTTCAATTCCTTATTTCCACCATTTGGGAGTATTGATAAACAATTGAACATACTTGTCTACACTGTTTGTAACATATAAACAACTTAAGCCTCGGAGTTTGGACCCATGACTTGGCTGGAAGTGAAACATTTCTGACACTAAAGTTACAAGTTACGTATACCTACTCCACTCTTTTGTGCTGCTTGGTGTAAGATCTCTATATAAGCAACTAAAATGATCTTCAACAATTATTTATTTATTCTATTTTCTACTGTTGTTTTGCAACATTTGATATTGCATGCATTCAAGAGCTGAACAAAGAGTATGTCAGAGCAGCCATTACTGTAGCTTGTTTTGCCGAGTTCTGAGATGAAGATGAGCGCTTATTTCCCCCTCCACAAAGCCAGCACCATTTTAGCCATATGCCTGTTGCGTTTTGACAGGGGATAGTTATAGCTTGTTGCAGTTTTGAAAGTATATAACAACCATTTTTGCTCACAGTGTGGTGTTCAAGTTGGGGGTGGGGGGGGAGGAAGGGGGCATGGGGCGTTAGATAAATCAATAAACAGGCCAACCCATGTCATGTTTTCAGATGATGGCCAGAAGTCTTGAGCCAATAATATAGAAAATGAAGCAAATTTAAAGTAGTCGAAACAGAATGAGGCAACATTGTATGTGTGTTTACATAAAATTAGTGAATTATGTATCTGATATATGTTGCCACAGGTAATAACGTTCATGCGCTAACTTTTCAACAAAGATGTTGTCGTGACTAGGAATGACTAGTATTGAATGCATTAAATTGCTCAAATCCTAAAGTAGTAACTTCGCATGGAGTTTAGTTTCCATTTAAAAATTGTTAACAAATGTTGGAATTCCAATTTTACATAGGCCGAAGGAAGCACCAATTCTGTGGTGTTTGTGTATTAGTAACAGATACTATGGCTGAAATTTTGACAAGTGCTTTAAAAAACACAGGGACCACATTCTATAATTTATATGTCAGCCCAATTTGCTTATGCAGCATCTGAGCAAAAATGTCATTGACATGCACAACTGAAACATAGGCTAGGCCCACCTGGACACAGCTCAACACCCACAAAGGCATTTACTTCTTCAGATGTTCAGGTGGCTGAGGCTGAAACTGCATTTCGAAAGCAGCCTGTAGTGGAACAGTTTGAGATACTTTCAATACTGACTATGTATAAAATAATAAATAAAGTTGTTCTGTTGGTCGTATTCTTGTTAGTAATTTGGGATAACTGTGTTACCACACGTAATTCTTTAGATCAGGTTGACAACCAGAACCAATTCCCGTCAACCACAAAATTCTAGAGTATGCCTGCTTTGTTGTCCATTTGCTAATGTTAACTACTTAGTGAAACATTTTTTTTTTTTTGAAAATCAGACTCTCCTTCCTTACCAAGAACCTTACCTGAGTGGCATGGTGGCTCAGTGGTTAGCTCTGCTGTCTCACAGTGTAATGGACCAAGGTTCAATTCCAACCTCGGGTGACTGTCCGTGTGGAGTTTGCACATCCTCCCCATGTCTGCTCTGGTTTCCAGTCCAGAGATGTGCAGATTAGGTGGATTGGCTATGTTAAATTGCCCATTATGCCCAAGAATGTGCAAGTCAAGTGGATTAGCTATGGTAAATGCAGGGCTGCAGGGATGGGGGGTGGTCTGGGTGGGCTGCTCTTCAGAGAGTTGGTGTGGACTCGATGGGCTGAATGCCCTACTTCCAGACTGTAGGAATTCTGTGATTTTATTCTTACTTCAGACATCATTAAGTAAATATTGTTCTTTTTTTTTTAGCAGTGAACGCTCCACATCTCTGTAATATCCCAGATCTGACAGAAATATTGCCCTTTTCCTGTATGACACACTCTCCAAGTCAGACACTGTTCTGACTGTACGTTCAGTCGCAGGTAAGGAAACAGATAAAGCAGCCTCAATTTTGCTTTAAATTTCACGGAATCTTTATTTGTGCTAACATCACTGTACTTGCCATGCAGGTCCCTTAATAATAGAGCCCTAAAGTATAGGGGTGGGGGGGTGGCTTCCTTAAATCATAAGGATAAGGAAACCAAATTAATATGATTTGTTTTTAATTCAAAAATGATCAAGATGCTTGCTAAAACCGATATGAATAAATTTTGAGAAACTTAAGACTTTTTTTTCTTTGGAAATGTCAGTGGTGCTGCTTCAAACATCAAGGGTGAAATTAATCTTCAGCAACAGTGAAAAATGGACAGTGGTGGTTTAGCAACGTGTTTGGCTGATTTTCCTCTTTTTAAAGTCAGTGGAAACTGGAATCAGACATGTACAACAGGCTGCAAATTCAGTACCAGCTGCTTGTTGCTCACGACTGGCAAAAATTAATTTCATTCCAGTTAATGTCCTTTAAACCCTCAATTTAATAAACTGAAAAGTTTTGTCTAACCGCAGCCTGCATTATTTTTGCCACTCTTTATTAAAGATTTAAACTTTTTTTCTAAAAAAGGCTTTGTGAGCAAATGTTGATGAAAAATTTAACTGTTGAGCTTTTTTTTGACAACTTTTCAGCAAGATTTCATTTCATTAAGATGAAGAAAGATAGTTTAAGGATCATTAAGTGGAATAGTTTCTCCACTTTCTCCACAAATGCAGTCTTGCACGCTGAGTATTTCAGTTTCTAAATCAGATTTCCAGCCTCCGCAGTTTTTTACGTTTGCATTTATTTCACCCCTTTTATTGCATTCTCCAGATTGGGGTCGCTCAAATTAATTACAACAATAATTAGATGTAGAGTAAAGCTGACGCAATATATTTGTATTCATCCTTGCCCTGTTCTCCTGTGATGCCTCCATTTTCTACAGGAGCTATCTGTACGTTCATATATCTGTATGTTTAAAAGGCCTCTTTTGGGAGTACTGTCAATTTAATCCTGAATTACAACCTCTAAGATGCTTATGCAACCAGCCTTCATAAGAAGCAGTTAATTTTTTTCTCAAACCAAGTTGCTAACATTCCTAAGTAAAAATTATTCAGGCTATTGACAAGTGCTGGGTAGGGTAGCACGGTGGAACAGTAGTTAGCACTGCTGCCTCACAGCACTGGGGACCCGAGGTCAAATCCACCCTCAGGCGACTGTTATTGTGGAGTTTGCACATTCTCCCCATGTCTGCATGGGTTTCCTCCCAGAGTCCAAAGATGTGCAGGTAAGATGGATTGGCCATGCTAAATTGCCCATTGTGTCCAGGGATATGCAGGTTAGATGGATTAGCCATGGGAAATGCAGGGTTGCAGGGATGGGGTAGAAAGGTGGGTCTTTGTGGGATGCTCTTCAGATGATTGGTATGGTCTCAATGGCTGAATGGCCTGCTTCCACACTGTAGGGATTCTATGATTCTAATGAGCAGGACTGCAAGGCATGGATACTGTCTATCATCTGATGCTTACCAAGAGAGAAAGAAAGAATGAGTGATGCGCAAAGTATAATATTTCAAACTGCTGTTTTTGAAGCTGGAATTATTGGACAGTACCAGGTGTGGGGAGGGTGGGGTGGATACTTTCGTACACCCGACATGTTAACCCTTTTTTTAAAACACTAATGAACCTGTTTTGTTGTTCATTGATGCTTTCCCTTGAAGATGATGTCCAGTATCTTATCTGGGATTCTTCATACAAACAACAGGCAAAAACAAGTAATACTATTATTTTCAACCCTAATGTCATTCTTCTTCAGGAACATTTCTTTTGACAAAGAATATACCGGATATGTGCATTAGTCTTTGTCCCATTTCTTTGTTATAATTCTGATTTGCAGCAGTATTTTACTTTGATGGTTCCCAGCCTCCATTTAGTAAAAGCGGTGACATCATCCCACACCAATAATGTTGTAGAGTGGAACGTCAAAAGTTTAAGTATGAAAACTTATTTTTTCAGCTAGGCCCAGTCACTATTTGTCACCAAATTCTCTTTAGGCAGTTCCAGAAGGTGAGAAGGCATAATTCATCAGCAGAAATGTACCTTGAAAAACATCAGTTCACCATATGATTGAATTGTTTAAGTGACGGGGGGAACATATTTGTCTTTCCAATGTTGGTGTCAGGAGTCACCTGGACAAAGGAACACACAGAGTAGGAGCAGAAGTAAGTTTTGAAGGAGGAGGAGGGGATCTCATTGAAACCTGCAGTAGGGTTAGAGTTAGGAGTACTGCGAGGCCTGGCTAGAGTGGAGAAGATGTTTCCACTAGCAGGAGAGACTAGGACCCAAGGACACAGCCTGAGGGTGAAGGGGTGAGCCTTTAGACTGAGAGGAGGAGGAATTTCTTCAGCAGAGGGTAGTGAATCTGTGGAACTCTTTCTGCAGAAGGCTGGGGAGGCCAAATCTTTTAGTGTATTTAAGACCAAGATAGATAAGTTCTTTATTAGTAAAAGGATCAAAGGTTACAGGAGGAAGGAAGTAGAATGGGGTTGAGAAACACATCAGCCATGATTGAATGGCTGAACAGACTCAATGGGCCTAAAGGTGTAATTCTGCTCTTATATGTTATAAATAGTCTTATGGTTTGATTTGGCCCCTCAAGGCTGCGTTGTCATTCAAAAAGATCATGGCTGATCTGTTGGTTTTTCAATTCCACATTTCCATCTACACCAATATGCCTTGATATCCCTAATAAGGATTCATCCACTCCGCCTTAAAAATATTTAATGACCAGGCCTTCTGAGGCAGAGTGCAGAAAGGGAAATCTGGCAGGAAACAATACATGGCACCTTCAAGGAATAGCCAACTTTTTAGTTCTGTTCGTCCCGATGGAAGGAAGATTCATCCTGACCAGATTTTTGCTTCTGTGCTTTATCCGTAGTTTGACAACTAGGTGATAAGAACAGGAAAGAAAACTATCCCTGGCTGTCATAAGATAGAGGGACAAGGTCAAGACAGGAGGTGTGAGGAAGGAAAATTGAAGTGGAGACAAATTGCAAAATGAGTGGCAGCAAAATAATTGGAAGAAATCTTCTGAGGTACTTCCTGTGTAGACTTTGTTGCATATCTTCTGATTCTGTATATGCCTAGTTACCTCCTGCTAGACAAAGCCTTTGCCATCATAATTACTTGCTTTTGTTCCAAGTCTGAGGAAGAATCATCTTTTAAAGAAACAAAGAAAACTTTGAGGAAACAGGCTGAATAGGAAGTGAATGGAGGAAGAATGGAGCCCCAGTGGCTCAGTAAGTTTGCCCTGTGAGCTGTGAAATACAGACCAGCGGAGTCCTCAAGCCTGTGCTGATTTAGCTGATCTGAACCAAGGAATGGTCGAGCTGTTGGCAGTTAAGCTCCGTATGTGAACGTTCCTGCTGCTGAGATCTATCCAGCATCAGCATCCTCCTATTGGAGTTATCTTCAGGGAAGTTGGCTGAAGGCCGGACTGAACTTGTGAAGTTTCTTGTGTTCGAAACCTCATTGCTCCTCCCTGTTAAGGATCTCGCATGAACCATGACCATTTGGGCACAGTATCAGAAAACCAATAAACAGTCCATTTCATTATTTGTAGCCTCTGATGAATGGAGGTTGATTGCCATTCCTTGATGCTTCCAGTGTGGGCAGAGGTCCTGCAGTGGTGCACTATGGATTGTGTGCCCTCTTTTCTTATTTCTACGATGGATACTTCCAAGAAGAGGTGTGTAAAACAATGTACATCTTGTGTAAAATGTCTTTCAATTCTGCATGTTCTTAGTCTTCTCATGTTGGTCAGAGCCCTCTCTCATCGCAATGATTTGCCTTTGTGTCAAATCTGTGGAAGAATCATATTTAAAGACATAAAATGGACAAAGTTTACTCAGTTCATGAGTATCTGTATGAATTTGTTTGGAATTAGTTCCTCTGAGCAGAAAAAAAAGTTGATTATTCATCGAATGAATAAGTCGATTAATTGATAGTGCTGCGTATAATTTGCAATATTTAATATTAACAGCAGGAACTGGAACGTCTTAAGTCAGATGATGGCTGAGTTTTATTTTAATACATTTGGACCAGTTCATTTTACCCACATTTGCTTGGAAACATCTGTATGAGACATTTCTTGCTGAATTTGCTTTCATGTCTGACCAATCACAGAATGCCAGTGAAACAGTTACTTAAGCTTTTAAATGTCCTTATGACCATTTCACCAACGTCTTCAATGTGCTTTCTGTGCCTAGACATCATTTGAAAAACGCTGAGTACTTTGAGGGTTGTATGTGAGAGCTCGTTGTATGCCATTACGGCTGGATTCTGTTATGTTTTATTCTTTGCTGTCTGTGTAGGGGCACGGAAAGGCCTCTATTCGGACTTGGCTGGCTTTTGGTAATTTAGAGATTAGTTCCACTATCACAGATAAGATTTGATTAGACATGTTGAGAGAATAGAGGGACATGGGAACAAGCTGCCATGTGGGATGAGGAGCTCAACGCTGGCACGCCTGTTTCTGCTCTGTCATTTTTACATAGATTTCTGTGAAAACATCTTTCATGCAAGTGGCCTAGTAAAAGTTAGTAGGTGGATATTTTCTCAAGACAACCAAATCCAGCCATTAGTGCCCTATTAGTTCGCAGTATGGATGAATTCAGCCTTCAGTTTTACAGGCTTAGTCTATTGTTGTTGGGTACTTGAGGTATTTCTATTTAGTTGCAAGAAAAGCATGATGTGGGGTTTAGGGTGATGGTGCCACAGTTAATGAGATATAATTAATTAAATAGCTAAGCAAGTGAGATCATGTGCTTCAGTCACTAAGCGGTATGATGCAGATAATGTATCTGTTGGCAGCATGCAATTCCAGTCTTGAAGCAGTTTCTTGTGACTATATGAGCATCTCTGAACGACTCCCTGTCAACTTTAATTTCATCAATAAAGTTTCATCCTTTGTTGACTCTTAGCTTACTTGACGACGGTGGCTGCATACCAAAAATTA